TGAAATCTCAGTGTTGTTTTCTTTTCATCTGCATCTCTCGAATGACCAGTGATGTGGAACATTTTTTCATATATTTACTTGCTGCCTTTACTTGTTTGTCTGAGAAATGTCTGTTCATTTCAAATGCCCATTTTTGAATCGGGTCTTTATATTTAGGTGGGCTGATTGTTTTGAGTTCTTTATATATTCTAGATAATAATCCTTTGTCTGAGGAGCAGCTGGCAAAAATTTTTTCCCACATTGTATGTTGTCTCTTAGTTCTGTTGATGGTTTCTTTTGCAGTGCAGAAGCTTTTTAATAACATGAGATGCCAATTGTTGATTCTTTCTGCTAGTTCCTGTGCTACTGAGGATTTGTTCATAAAATCTTTTCCTATGCCAATGTCGTCAAGAGTTCTGCCTAACTTCCAGCAAGTTTTGTGTTTCTGTTTTAATATTTAGATCTTTCATCCACTTGGATTTTAATTTAGTGCATGGTGAAAGATAAGGGTCCAGTTTTCATCTTTGGCAGGTTGAAATCCAGTTTTTCCAACACCATTTATTAAAGAGGCTATCTTTCCTCCACTGGGGATGGTCAGCTCCTTTGTCAAAGGTGATGTAGCTGAATACATCTGGATTTGTTTTTGTGTCTTCCAATCTGTTCCACTGATCCTCAGATCTGTTTCTTTGCCAGTACCATACTGTTTTTATCATAGTGGATTTGTAGTATAGCTTCAAATTGGGAATTGTTATACCCGCTGCCATGTGTCTGTTGCCTGGGATGGCTTTTGGTATTCTAGGTCTCTTATGGTTCCAAATGAATTTTTGGATTCTTCTTTCTAGTTCTGTGAAATATAGTGTTGGAATTTCAATTGGCATTGCATTGAATCTGTATAGCTGTTTTTGTAGTATGGCCATTTTCACTATGTTGATTCTTCCTACCCAGGAGCAGGGGATATCTTTCCATTTTCTTATATCCTCTTTGATTTCTTTTTTCAGAGTGCTGTAGTTTTCAGTGTAGAGGCCTTTTGCTTCTTTTGTTAGATTGACTCCTAGACTAACTTTTCTTTTCTAGCTGCCCATCATACATTGTTGCTTCTTTCTTGGGAGTAGCAACTTGGGCTTTCACAGGTCTCCAGGAGAACATGAAGCTGTATGCTGAGACGTTAACCGTTCAGCCAAGGAGTTTCTCGGGTCAAGAAATTTCTGCTGGGTGTGGTGGTGCATGCCTGTAATCCCAGCACTCGGGAGGTTGAGGCAGGAGGACCGCTGTGAGTTTGAGACCAGCCTGGGCTACATAGTGAGTTCAGTTTCAACTACACAGTGAGACCCTGTCTCAAAAAACAAAAACAAAAACAAACACACACACACACATACACACACACACCCCAAAAAAACAAGAAAAGAAAAGAAATTCCTGGTATCCTGATGCACAAAAACAAAACAAAATTCTTATTTTATTCTCTTCTGCTTGTACTTCTTAGTGATAATCACTGGAAGAAATAAGCCTGAAATATGATCATTTCTCCAAAGTGGCATGTATAATGTTAAAATGTGTATAATTTTAGGGAAACCTCATTTTAAAAAAGTAAGATGACTTTAAATCAAAGAGGTACACATCAGGTATGGCCTACTACTTACTAAAATAAAGCATTGTTTTTATTTATCTAGAACTTCATGATGTGATACTTTTCATGAAAAGCCTCATGTGAGATCACCATACCCCAAACACTCACTGTAGTGCTTGGCACTTGTTGGATGAGTGGATGGACGGACAAATGGATAGGAATTCCACCATGGTTTGAAACGCCTATTTTCAGTAATACTACACATAACATATGAAGTATACATAGGAAAAAGATACTGCCGATAGCTGTGGTATACCTTCTTGAGCATGGACCCAAATACCCCCTCGAGGTTACATAAATTATATATCGAAATCTACATTGTTTTATCCTAATATAAAAGCAAAACGCACACATTCGTGTCATGTTCTTTGGTGAGAGAGGAAAATTTGAATGACAGGGATTGAAAGGTGACGCGTGCCTGGCACGAGGACTCTGGGTGGCCTGCAGCTAGGTGGTGGGACAGGAGAGGACCCTGTCTGCTCTGCTCCGGGAGTGGCTGGGGAGCGGGCTCTCCAGCCAGCCTCCCAGGAGCCCTGTGTGCTCTGGTGTCTTCTGGGAATGCTCACACAGTGTGTCAGATCTGCCTGTTTGTGTGAATGCAATGTAAAGGAAGCTGGCTGCCACTGTCACGGGAAAGGGTCTCAGCATGTTTTGCGGTGGCTGGCTTGCCCAGGCCACGTGCATGTACTCAATATCATTCCGGCATATTTATAAGGAAATGGGACAGTGGGTTAACTGAGGGTTGGAGCAGTGAGCTGCAGGGACAGAGCACCGGCTCACACCTGGGGGGTGGCTAAAGGACCTGGTGCCACCTGACCACCGGGCATTGGGCACAGGAGCTCCCCTTGCTCCCTCACCCCTGATAGGACTGCAGGATGCTGCCCTGGGGTGATAATATGAAGTGCAGAGCCCGTCGTCTGGCATTTATAACCCTGACTCACGTTTGGGAGCTGAGATACAGCTACGAACAGAATCGAATGCACGCCTTCAGCTAGAGCTAGCTGGCCATTTTGAGGCCGTTCCCCACTTATTTCCATCTGCCGCTTCTTTCCCAAAACAATCTTCTGCAATGGACAGATTCAGGGGCCGGGTGGTAGCTGTTCCTCATTGGCTGTGGGAACCCGTGAAGGGAAGCGAAGGGAGACTCTCAGGGGCTTCGTTTTTAGACTGTGTGGCCGGAGGGACATGGAATTCATGAATGCAGAACACACTGGTTCCGACCGGGCATCATAACCTCTGAACTATTTCAAAAGATTCTTTCAGAACAGTGTCCAGCGAGGAATTCCACAGAAAGCCCAGAAGGACCCTTTGGAAAACAAGAAGGGGAAACCTGCCAACGACTCCCTGCAGCCAGCAGCATGCACAGATGCTGTGGGTGCCAAGGCAGTGCTGGGTCCTGGCCTGGGCGAATCGGGCTGCCTGGGTGGCCACTCCCCCTGCAGTGCGTCTCTTCCCTGCACCGCTGGCTGCCCAAGGACTGTTTGGCAAGGCGGAGCTGGGTCCTTGCTCCCCGCTGCCCAGGAGCTGGCGCCAGTCGGACCCGCAGCCAACAACAGCAAAGGTGGCGGCCGGAGCCCATGCACTGCAGCCCCTCAGCGCAGAGGAAGGTGCCGGACAGGGCGGGCGGGACAGGCTGAGCCTGCCATGAGGCCCCCACACCCAGGGCCCCGGCTCCTGTGAAGCCCTTCGGGCCTCTCTCCGGCTGCTCCCTCCTGCCTCTCCCACCCTCTCCTGCGGGGTGAGGCCCATGGGGTCGCCTTGGTGAGGGCCCCACTGCCGCCCGCATTGCGGCCTCGCCTGGCCTAGGAAGGCTGGACCTCGGTGGGGTGACGGCTCTCTGGGGTCCTGGATTTGGTCGGGCGTCCCCGCAGCCAGAGGCCCTGCAGGGGCCATGCGTGGGTTTAACAGCGCTGCGCTCCGTTGAGCTGGGCTCCCTGGGCGGCACCTCCAGCGCATTGCCTCGCGGTGCCGCCCAGGCTCTCCAGGCTCCTGGTAGAGGACAGCAGCGGCTCCAGGAGAATCCCGAGGGCAGAGCAGGGGAGACTTCAGACAGCCCTCTGAGTTACTGTTCTCTTGGTGCTGAGACAGAAGAGCCTACTCGGTTCCTGGACGGCCCGGTCCCCAGGGCTGCTGCAGGGGCGGGTGGCAGGGCGACAGGGAGCTGTTCTTGTCTCCCTTGCTGCCCCTTCCTCTCACACAGGTTGCTCAGGCCTATGCTCGGCCTTGCTCCTGGGGCCTTAGCAGTGCACACCCTGGACCCAGCCTATGACCACGTGAGCTTTGGGGGGATTCTAGATCCAGCCAGAGCACCCCCTCCTCACGCTGAAGTTCCCTCAGTTTTATCAACCTGTTTCTGTCCTTCTGTCCTGCTAACCTCAAATTCAGAGCTTCTCGCAGACCCTCCAGTGTGCCCTCAACTCCTTGCGCAGCTGACCTCAGCCTGCTTTGCTGGCTCTGTCAAAATACAACCCTCTTCTGAGAAGTGCAGCCTCAGAGGTTACCTGACTCATTCCGTCTTGCTCGCTTCTGACCTCACAAGTCATTTACACTTTTTGCCCAGACTTCCATCTGTCTGCCAGTCAAGGAGCTCAGACGTCCTCCTGCACCCCGAATGTGGTCCCTGCCTTCACAGGGCTCCCGTCCAGTAGTGACGTCCACACGAAAGAACCACTTCTGTGAAGTCGTCAACCTGGTCCTGGACTCGAGAGATACAAACTGCTGAAGCCCTGAAGGGGGTGATGTCGGCCGCCTGGGGGAGGTGCAAGGAGACAAGGGGAACAGGTTCGGGGTGCTGGGCCGGTAAACCCAAGGGGAGTGAGAGCGACGCTGGCCAACTGCGTACCACAGACATGGCCTCCCTGAAGGGAAGGAGCGGGTGGGGATGCGAGGCTGCACAGATCTTTGGACTGACTGCTGCCATCTGCAGGAATGGCCTCGGAGGAGATGAACTTTTCTTTATCTTTCCAATCTCCTGTTCTCAGCCACCCGTTTTCCTGTCCAGGTGCTCTGAGAACCCGGAATGTTCTCTCTCCTGCTCTTTAAAGTCAGGTGCAGTGAGTGGTTCCCGGCAGTACTGGGTGTCCGTCCACCCAAGCTCTCCAAAACTCAGATTTAAGTTCTGTTGTGGAGAGGCAGATAGAAGGAGGGGAGCAGGGCACCCCGGGATCACATCACCTCTCCCACACCACGTCACCACAGCCTCCCGATTTTCCCGTGCTCTAGACTCCCTTCACAGGAGACTCTGAAAGCTCACAGACTCTCTTAAGGGCTGTCCGATGGAGCTGAGAGCAGGGCTAAGGATAACTTACACCTTCCCTGTGACGGTTTCTTCCTAGGGTGCCAAGGCTATGGTCTACCAACTACCTTTCCTCAGTTGGAAAAGTTACATAAAGATTCAGAGTTTCTTTGCCAGAGAACCTGTTGTCATCACTCACCCGTGTGAAACCCTCAGATTTATTAGTTTCTAGCAGCTGTTTGGATTTGGTAGAGAGATAGGAGAATTGCAGCTAACATTCCCCTAAACAGCAAAGCACTACACAGATACATTCTACGTTGACTGAGTGGAAAGTTCAGGTCCTATATGTTGGGATACACACACAAAGGACCAGGTATGTGGGAGTTTTATGGGTGATTTTTTTTTTTCGAAATGTGAACTATTTGAAAGTTCTCCTAGTCTATGGTATGTATGCAGTTTAGATTCTAGCCACTATGCAAGCTTAATTTGGTTTATGTGAATAAACTGAGTTTTCTGTTCAGATCTCTGGGATTATTATAAAACTTGTTATAAAATCATTGCTTCCTTATCTAATCGTGCCTGTTATTTGAACTTTCTGAGTGGTTGCTCAGTTTGTTCCAAGGTATATCACTATTTTAAAATATATGCAGATCAGTTCAGTTTGATTTCCCTAATTCCAGTTCATTATAGTTTAAAATTGTGTTTTTTAAAATGGCAATACAAAATGCAATCAATTCTGTGAAGTTCCTGAGAAAGTCTAATAATTCATGTTGTAGTTCATAAATAAAATTCTCTAGTCCAGGCCAGAGGAACTAATTTTGTTAAGTTTCTCTTGATAAAGTTATTTGTCCTTTTAAGGAAAAAAATACATTGACTTTGATTATTATGGACCTTCAAAAATTTATATTAATAGTCAATTTATCGTCATTAAATTTGTTCACAACATTTGAGGATGAAGTTAGACAAACGAAGCTCTTTATTTTTAATTTTTTTAGTCGTAATCGGCATGGTAAAAGATTTATAAAGACTACATATATATTCTCCTTTTGCATGATTACTACTTTCCTTTTCTTTTTAAAACAAGATAAACAGAAAGTTTTGTTGGTTTAAAAATATCTAGCCAAAATCATTGTAAAGATTTAAAATAGTGTATATGCATACCTTTGATGAGATTGATGAAAACATTTCATTGCATTTGCTAACAATGAATATTTTTAGTATCAAAAAATCCCTCTTGATTTCTAAATTTTCCAGCACAGTTAAAGTTGCAAAAGCTAAGCAGGAATTGGAAGCAAAGAAGTTAGGGTTATCTACAACTCGCCGAAGACGCAAACCCCACCACTGAAGACACTAGAAGAACTGTGATGCTCAGGATGCCGCAATAACAAATTCTATCAGATGTGTGGAATAAGGTAGGTTTTCCCGAACTGCTTCGGAAATTATATATACACGTTACTGTCAGCCCACTTACCTATTTGTTTTTTTTAAGCAACAAAATCAATGGTTTATAAGAAATGCTTTTGAATTAGAAAGGGTGTGAGCATGAAATGACGGCTGGCTCCAGATCCAGGGAGACTAGATCTGAGCACGCTTGGTGGGCACATAACTACATACGTGATCATCACTAGCATTAGTATGGTTTATTTGGAACAGCTGATGTTAAACTACCCTTTTTACAAAAGCAATGCAGTCCTGACTAGTAGATCCATAGAGGAACACGACAACAAGCCCTAATTACGATGTATAAATCACCTCCATGGATATTATCACATTGGTTCTTACAATAACAATTTTGCAGGTGTCAGTGCAGACAGTAATCAGTGTTTAAAAGTCAAATGGAAACAACCTTTAAAAAGGTTATCTGAGGTTCTCAATAAACACTCACTGGAATCTGGGTCCATTGGCTCATTTCTAGTCCAGTGCTCCTGTCTGCTACATGACTGCTTATTTTAGCAAAGCATTTGATATCTTTGGTGATTTGTTTGGGCAAAAGACACAGACAGTGTGAGAGTCGGCTTGAAGCACACACAGGTGCAAACCTGCATATTCAGCTCAGCAGGTCCCTGTGAGCACACAGTACGCTGTCGATGAGGCTCTCTGCCAGGTCCATGGAAGCTACGGCATCGATGGCAGGGTGAGGAGGGAGTGACAGACTCCATTCCTCATCCAGTCAGCATTTTCATCAATAGTTTAGTGAAAGGCATCAAAGACACTTTTAGCATAAGCACCATTTAGCATCCAACTGAACTGTACAGCTAAAAAACGAAAAGGGAAACCTTGATCAACTAGAACAATACAGCTGGCCTCTTTAAAGAGACGGGTCTGATTCTGGATTTAGTTCAAAACAAAACAAGACAAAAACCTATCATCCAATATTCAATGAGGAAGAGAACAGTGTTCATGCGCAAATGCCGTGAATTTTCCTTTTTCTATAAACTCAGTAAAAGAATTGGCAAGAAGCTCGTGGAAATTATAGGTTTTTATTACACGGACTGCAGTAGCTCATTTGGACATTCGTTGTGCTATTATATCTTCACTGGTTAGGTCACATCTTTTCCTCATGTTCAGTTCTGGGGATCACATTTGTAGAAGGATCTTCTAGTCCGCTACTCAGGAGTGAAGGTTGGTCATGGAAGGAAAGCTAAAAGAGGTAAGGCTCTTATGTGAAGCAGAGATTTTAGGGCAGCTGAGAGATTTTCTCCATCACGGTGGGAGACCATTCTTAAGTGTCCAGAGAGCAGAAATAGAACAAGTGAGGAACAGTTTAAGAAAGGCATATTTGGGCTCCGTGATGGAATGTTTTGACATCTGGGCTCTCGTTAGGTGATGTGTGCTGTGTTTCCCACCTGGAAATATTCGAGCACAGGCTGGGTGATTATCTGCCAAGGAGTGAGGCACAAGTGTTCCAGCGCTGAGTGGAAGTTTGGACAAATGACCTCTAACATTGCTCCTACCTCTTGAGAGAAGGAGTTTCTAGTATGATGTCCTACATACAAATTATTATCTTCATTGAAACTTCTTCAAAATCTTGAGAATCTTGCCATTAGGCATCTCATAGGGTGCTCACAATTGTCCCTGACTGGACATGTACAAGATCAGTTTACAGTGTAATAAGCCACATGCACACACGTTTAGCTTCTTCGGGCAATGAGATGTATGGGATTGCCTGCGCCCGTGCCAGACTCCTGAAAGCCATAAGCAGCACTCCTTTGTGTTGGCCTTCCAGACTCACAAATTCAGTGCCTCGACAAATAAAAGCAAACTGGAGGCATTTCTGAAGCTGAGCTGGGCCCTCAGAAAGTAGAGTGAAGCTATTCTGAGACATTGTCCAGCAGATGACCGAGCCGACAGGGAGTGGTGTGCTCCCTTGGTGGAGAGCATGCCACAGTGTACCCCAGGAATCTAGCGCCCACTCTGTCGGGCATTCGGTGATTACAGTGCACACACCATCTTCCCATTTCCTGTGAGGGCGTCTAACACGCAGATGGTACAGTCCAGCTCAGAGTGCTTTTTATGCCCGGGTAATTCCTGGCTAAATCTCTGTAGGAATGACCACTCTAAGCCACTTCCTGACCCAATTAAAAGTCCTTGTAAGTACGGGGCAGTTATGTAGTATTAGAAGCTTCTGTTTTCTGACCCCCTACTCAGTCTCATTCTGCAAACTTTTATTGATCCCCTTCAGAAGTACAATTTTCATGTCAGCCTGGGGGGCATGCGCCAGATGCAAGGTGTTTCCCAGGGACTAAATTCAGAGGCAGTGGATTGGTCCACTCTCAGATCACTTGTGTACAGAGTTTGCAGAGCAGCATTCAGTTCTATGGTGCCGGGGGGTCGGGGAAACAGGACAGGTGATTAGAATCCAGTGAAATTCCTGGAATAAGTCACACGAAACACACTTGAGAGAAGAGAATATGTGTCTGAGTTTTCTGCACACATATGGGACATTTTCAAGGTCTGTACTAACGCACAGCTGGAGCAAAGCTAGAACCAGACAGCCCAAGCCCCTTGGCAGGTTTGCCGGCCTCCCTCGGGGGAGGCAGCCTTTACGGAGCAGCACAGCAGCAGGGAAGGCTGAGCAACAGCGGAAGGGTGACTCTGGGAACAGGTCTGTGTGAGCCCTGGGGGGTCACAGAGAGACAGGGCCCTCTTAAAGGCTGCGGTACACACTGCGGCGCAGAAAAACCCTTCTGTCCAAAGAGCTGTCTGTCCAAAGACTGACACAATGCCCAGGAGCTGTGCTTTGAGAATGCAGAATCTAAGCCCCTGTCCAGGCCTTTGGATTAGCGCGGGCATATTAACCAGATCCACAAGTGATTCCTGAGTAGATAAAATTTAAAGAAGCTTGTTTTAAAATTTCCATCAGAGGAGTAAAAAATTAAGAAGAGATATAGTTGCCTTCATGAGAAACTTGGTGTTTAAGAGACAAGAACAAAACGTTTAGACCCCTCCATTTAAAGAGGAATGATGAACTAGTAAGAGAACCACGTTAATGAATAAAATTCATGACATTCTGCATTTTAAATTAATGGTAATCTTTTTTCCAGGGCTCAGAGAATATTGAAAGCATTGTTCTGAATAATTCAACATTAAAAAAAAACTAAATTAGCAACTGGAGAATCAATAGAGTTGAAGTTTGAAAGTTGGAAAGTTCCCCATTTTAACCTCTTAGATTTTCTGCTCTCACATCATACACATCAAGATCTGAACACTAAACGAAACCCAGAACATTTTTAGGGTGCCCTGTGAGAAGTTACTCTATTTTTCCTTAAACACGTGGAGCTACTTTGCAATCACAGCAAGGTTTTGCAAGAGTATAGGGTGAAAGCCATACAAGTTATGAAGTCATATTTACACGAAGAGGTTATGATTTCCAAGTAGAAAGAGTAATGCTTCCAAATATAGCTCAGCTCATGTAGTGGCAAAGAACATGTCATCATGAAATGTAAAACTTATAGATGTAAATACACATGTGCATGTATGTATATTCACAATACATACAAACTCTAAGATGCTATGAACTAATGAAAATAGCAATTGGTAGTGAAGATTATAAAAACGCCGTAACCCAGACGCACTGTTAAAAACCTCATTGATAAATCATTGAAACTTCCAGCTGACTTCTGATTTATTTTTTTGCTGACTGCAGCTGTGACGCCAGGAGATCTGTAAGCACTGACAAGTTCAGAGAGGAACAGCAACAGCTAATCTGCTCAGTTTTTGAAGTTGGGGAATTATGCTTTAAATTAAAGAAGATTTATGAAGGGAGCGGTGGCCTTTTATGGATTACACTCTGAAAATCAGAATGAGTAAGAAAGAAGGCATGCAAAAGAACTGAGTCTTTTTATTTATGAACATTAACGAAATACAAAGTTCAAATGGTAAAAACTCATGTGTGTGTATGTATGTATATATATATAAATTTACCTTTCCGTATTTACATACTACCGTTGGAGTGTGTTTCCACTTAGGATGGGTTTCCATTGCTGTTTATGTATAATTTCTTTCCCGTTTTGTCTCTGGCAAGAAGAATCCACACAACTGTGAGGGCATTTGTAACTCACCTCCTGCTCCGTCTCTAACACCAAGTACAATGCCAGGTACATGACAGATTTCGTAAAGGCTCACTGAACTTTGTGGAAAGTCATGTAACGATCTAAAATTGCTCCACCATGCTTGGACGACAGGAGGATGTGTAAAGCAAAGGTGGGCCTGGAGAACAGACCCAGCAGGCGGGACTCAGGAGAGGTGGAGGTGGTGCGCTGCCTGACAGCCCCCGAGGAACAGAGCTCCGCCGACCCCCACATGGGGACCTGAGGCACAGGGAGAAGTGGGACACCTTCCTCCCCGGCCCGCTGAGTGCAGGCTTGGGAAGGGCCTGGGCGTCCTCTCTGATGCATCCCAGTGGCCCAGCGGGCTTCACCCTGCTTCAGAAGGAGCCAGCACTTAACCATAAACTTAAGGGAAACTTTTCAGCTAACTGGAAAGCAGAGGGAAGTGGGAGCTGGAGGGCTTTGTGCTTACTCTTGAAGCTTCACGCCCGAGGCAGCTCTGGAAAGAGTCTAAGAGAAGAATGCAGGCAAAGCCAGGCAGGGACTTCAGCACAGTTTCACTTGTACTAAGAGAGGCAGAGCTGAGACAAGAGGGGCCAAATCGTTGAGATTTTTGAAAATAAATTTCTCTTTGCTCTGTGCTGCTTTGTCTATCTTTCGTAATCTAATATCTGTTTGTGCTGACTTCTATAATCTGCTTTGATGTTAAAGTTACCTGCCTGACATTCTATTAATATACATCCTCTTTTCAACCATCAAATTGCTTTTAAAAAGCTAAACTCCAGGAATCACATCTAGAACGACCCATTAAGGCACCCATTCGAAGTGTATCAAAGGTTCAGCAACTCAGTTCTTATAATTCAAAACTAGAATTTCACTAACTAAAGCTGCTAGTTACCAACCACTCTTAAACACTAAAGAATTGTGTGTACTGGGCTTTATTTAGTTAGACTCATTTACCAGTTCTTCAATTTGCTTCAAACTTGGTCTTAAATGACTGGAGTGGTAAGTGTGGTAGCAAGTGCCTAGAGTCTCAGCCTGCTGGGAGGCTGAGGCAGAAGGGCTGCAAAAATCAATAAAAAGAGCCAGGGGTGTAGCTCAGTGCAAAGATCGTGGATTCAATGACCAACACTGCAAAAAAGAAGTTCAGGAAAGCACTGAAGTCGCCATCAAAGCGACTTTCCAGCTTGAAGTCAGGAGCGCTGTGATTTCAGAGCACCCTGTTACAGGAGATCTAGTCATCAAGACAGTGAGTGCGCTTCTCCAAACCAAGGGCACCCTGACCTGACGCTGTTTGAAAGAGCAGCCTTCCTTGGACAAATAAAGCAACAGTTTCCTTTCTGCATTTGGTTGGCCCCTGGGGCTGCAGACCATTGTAGTCCAGGTTTAGAAAGTGTGCAGCTTCCAGATTCAGGTTGGAGTTTGAATCCAGTGAGCGGAGACCCTGAGCAGGAGGAAAATGTCCAGGGGCTGCCGTTTTCTCACAGAAGATGGCGCGGCTTTGTGATGGAGTATAGGACGCCCGGCTGGCTCCGAGGTGGGCACCTGCAGTAACGTCCTCTGAGAGTCCTGGCGGATCTCCTGCTCTCCCCTCACAATTTTACAAGAAGAAAATGTGCTCAGAATGCCTAGAAAACTCCTAATCATGGCAACCAACCAACCTATAGGAGCTACTACTAGTTGATAAATATAAATACTGAGGCCACCAGAAAGCCAAAAAGCTGAGTTTTGAAGTGCTTTATTGTCTGCTTTTCTTAGACAGGGTACTATTTGTGGATTTAACTTAGGCTGAACATGCAGGCCTTCCTTGAGGGAGGGGATGAATGGTTGCTTTTCTTCTGCCCCGCTTCTCCACTGAGGCCAGTGGGGAGATTTCCTGGGCCAATCCCAGCTGGCTGGAGGCCTGGCCCTGGTTCATTTTGCTCCCTCCCATTTCTTGCTCTCCTCATCCGCTCTATTTATGATTCTGAGGACTTCCTAAAGGCCTCTTGTCCCTCCAACAAAGAGCTCTCACTGCAATGCTTAGAGGCACACTGATGATGAAATAAACTGAGCATAGTAGAGGAAAGTACGTGCATCCCATTTGATGATTCAATTTGAGCTAACTCAGGGGGGTGAGAACGAAATTCTGGGAAAATCTTCTACTGTCCAATAATACCATCTTCCCCTCCCGGCCACTTTCTTCTTCCCCAGAATCTTCATTTCCCCTTCTAAATCCTCATAGATGGTTGCTGTGAAAATAGGATCTAGGCTTCTGCAGGGCCTCAGCTGTTTGATGTTCTCTTGGGCATTTTAGCAATGTTTGGGAGCAAGTTTCTGTCACACTGCTGGAAACATATTTTTGGGAGAGGTGATGGCAAAGGAGAACTCAGGGTAGCAAATGCGGTGAGGGGAGATGAAGCCAAGATTGCACGTGTTCATTTTATACTCATCTTGCTCAGGTTCCAGGTTGTTCTATCCTTATGTGGGAATTCATATTGCATTGAGAGAACAAAATTGCAAAACATTTTAAAACTTTTGGCCCCATCTTTCCTCTCAGTACTTTAGGTAGTGCTTTTTTTTTGTTGTTGTTTTTTTAAATCTGGGATCGAACTCAAGACCTTGAGCTTTCAAGGCAGGCCCTGGAACTACTGAGCCAAATCCCTGGCCCAGGCAGTGCTTTAAAATATTCTTCATATCTCCTTTAATAAATCGTTCAGCCCTTTTCTCCAGCCAGTAGTCAACTAATAGCCAAATCATGGGTGGTCATTCAGACACATTTTAGGTGGATATTTGAATAAGAGTTCATCTGAAACCAAACCAAACTAACCAAACAAAAAGCCTTCAAGACTCTAAGACATAATCTGCTAATTATGGAGTTCCAAGAACTGTGAGTGTGTGAAAGAGTGCAGTGGGCCAAAAAGAGGTGCCTTTGGATATATGCATACTCACAGAACTTCAAGACTGCCTGTAAATAAGACCCACCCTGCCCACAAGAGAGAATGAGGAGGTGAGTCTGAAGGGCTTCATGAAGATCTCCGCCAGAAAGACAAACCACGCACCTCTTTCTAGACTGAGGTGGGTGAGTGGTTTGCGTTCCGTGCAACAAACAGGACGGTGTGGGATAGCATAGGGCTTTCCTGCCCCTCTTATGTCTGATGCCTTGATTCTTCTGTGTTTCTGACTTTGTGGTGTATTTTTCACAATTGCCAAACTTTCTGGAGCGTCTGCGCCCTGGAGCTTGCTTCAGTGGGCGCTTCCTGTGAGCTGCAGCTTGGTCATGCAGTTCTCTGTTGCCCACAGGGAAAGCGCAGACCCCTTGCCAGGCCCTGTGCCTCATGGAGAGTGCTAACTGAGGTCACCGGGCAGCACCAGGACGTCCTCCTAGCATGTTCAGAAGGGCAGCTGTTTCCAGCCCCACTTTCTTGTGATTTAATTAGTCCAGAAGGTCGTGAGAGACTTGAAAATGGAAAACATATTAATAGTTCAGCTTCTTGTTCACTCCTTTACCATTAGGTCAGCCTGTATCTAAAATATTCCAGACAGAGGGACAATTGATCTTATTTTAGGAGACGTTCAGAGATACCACTGAAATAATTAGTTCTTCGAGGCTAAATTTAGCATATCTTTGAATAAGCAACTTGAATGTTTTCATGTTGAGTTACATTTCTTTCTGCCCTTTACTCAAGCATCATCAACATACCAGGACTTTGTCCATTAGCCTGTGAGATAAAGATAGGAGGATAAGTGCCATTAAATGATATGTTTATCTTAGTCTTAAACTGGAAACTAAAGATACGAAATTTAGGATGGAAGATATATATACATTTAAAAATCTTTGAATTCTTTGAAAGATCATAGAAACTACTCCCAGTTGGTCTGTACATTGTAGACAAGTCTTGAATTTCTTACACATTTTATATTTGGCTTCAAAATATAATCTCCTATAATGCAACTCAGGTGAGAACAACCTTCCGTTCAAAGCAAACCCCCACATTGTGCTTCTGGGAAGGTATGATGCCACGTCTGCGTGTTTGACACGTGTTTACTACCTTGATAACTGGGCCTACGCTGGCCTGAAAGTGCCCAGTACAGTTCCTTGCCTCTAACAGGTTCTTGGTAAAGGTCCCTTATGTGAATAAAAAAAAGTATTCATGTAAGTAAGCTACACCTCTCACAAGAAATATCAAAGAAAGAGGGAGATGGATTGAGTATCCTTGTTTACTTATTTAACTTTAACAGACACCAGAGCACAGATCTAACGGGGATCAACAGAAGCACAGAGCTGGGACAATCACTTCTTTGTTGGCGTCTCTTAAAATGACCATTTCCTACTCAGGTGACCTATACCTTATAACAAGTTTAAAGCCCCCTTTCCTATGTTCTGGTTAATTTATAATTTTTCCATTATTATCTAAAGCATATACAGAAAGAAAATCCGGCTTAAATTGTCCAGAAAGTAATTTCTCTCTCTGAAGCAATAAACTATTTTCAGGCTTCCAGCCAGGTTAGCGCCTACACATGTAAACCCTTGAGGCCTGCAGGTCACTAGCAGAAAACCTCGGAAAATTTAATTAAAGAGATTTCCAGGAAAGGGAAAGAAAGAAATTGGTCACCACAACATGAGGGAGTTTTCCTGTCCCACACACAGGTCTTATGTACACGACACAGGGAAGTCTGGAGGCAAGGAGATCTTCCAGAAACCTCCATGCCTTAAACCTCAGGGCTCTTGTG